CACAATACAAATAATAGTACTTTATAATTCATAATAATTATGATTATCCCCATTTTACTGATGGGAAACAGACACAGGAAGGCCTCAGGCTAGATTCTATGCTGCACCTCTCAGGGTACACTGCCCAGGAGGCCCTGCCCAAGAGGAGTGACGGCAAAGGTGCCCTAATTTATAGCAGGATGCCCTGCAGCCCAGAATAGCTGTACTGCCAAGGACTCCAACCACTCCCCGTCCCTGGCAGGCCTGGACCGTGGCAACATGTGAGACAAAGCCTGAGTGTCCACCTGCCCCACCTCTCAGTTGCTAACCCTCCCTGATCCCTAGCTGATTTCACTGCAAGCCCCAAAAAGCAACCACTCTCTTGTGAAACTGGCCAGTTGACGAAGGGCTACCTCTCAGTCTGTGCTGGTAAATATGCACGGGCTTGTTTAAATCGTTCATAATCAATATCCACCTTTTATGATTTGCTTTATGGCCTCCTCTCTTAAGTGTCTGCTGTGGAGAAAAATGCTTTATAATGAGATATTAAGGGAGGTGGTTGCATCTGGTAATTATTACACAAATGGCATTTGAAGAGCAATTATTTGATGGCATCTTAATTTAGGTTGTTGCCCCATAAATATAGTGAGCAGCACTATATTTGCTGCTCACAAGCAGCTGAAGTGCTGGATGCAAGGAAGAGCTGTGTGAGTGGTACTCATGGAAATTAGGTACCCCATGCGGGCACACTTGATGAGTCAGCCACCGATCGCACCTATGACGCAGCAAAACAGATCTGACGATGTACATTTGCATCCAAGAATCCTGTGGAGGCAGCAGCCCAGTCTGACAGCTCCTGTCTGCCTCATGTCAGGTATTTGAGCACTACAGAGCCATTTGGGTGTGATGTGGAAGCTACGTCAGTCTTCCTTTGCAAGAAGGACGTGTGTAATCCGCTTAGTCTGGGCTGCGCTGGCAGTCAAATGCCAGCTACTGATGGGAGTGGCTGGCTCGGTTTAGCAGCTTTGTTCCTCCCACCGGGAGACTGAAACTTGGGAGAAGGGGTCAGGAGAGGAAAGGGGCTGGGTTTACGACTTCAAGGAGCAACAGTCCTGGTGATGATGAAAGGCCTTTAAATTCTGCAGTGAAGAGGCAAGGAGCATTAGCATTCTGGAAACGCAAAGCAGGGGGTGGGGCTTGCACCCAACCCGCTGAATCCCCACCCTCCACTCAGCAAACTTGGGAACATTCAGATCTGCAGCTAAACTTTGCAAACTGCCTGATTTCCCTGGATATGGAGTCCCTCTACTGAGGACGACGGGAGCTCAGAGCCCTCAGCACCTTGCAAAAGCCTATCATATGTGCATATCAGCACCTCCTGCTGGCCATCTGTACTGTTTTCCAGAGGTGCTGAGCAAACCCAACACCTGTTGGAACTCAGTCCCCTTCAGGAATCAGGCCCCGAGCTCTCATGTGTGTCAGCCAGCAACTGCCTGCCTTCTGTTCAGTTTTGTGGGCTCTCGTTCGCTGAGAACTGTAGGTTGCTTCAAAGCCCTGTACTGCGGCATGTTTGCTTTTTCTCACAGCGGCAAGCACCCAAGGGGGGTTGGAACTGCCCAGGCACTGTAGAGGGTTGGAACGAATAGCAATGGACAGGAGTGGGACAACCGAGTCCAGCAGAGTAGCTCATCACTAAGAGGCAGAGGAAGTGGCAGACCTCTTAAGGTTAGCAGGACTAGGCGCCACTGGGGACTATACCTGAATCTGCATCCACACGGGGCTTAGGCAGTCCCTACCTTTCTGAGAACAGAGAGTAACAATGCAGCCACAGGTGTCAAAGCGCTTCCCCCAGGGTGGACCAAGTTTCATTATCCCCATTTATAAAACGCAGCTCAGGGTGGTCAAGTGATTTGCCCCAGTTCACCCAGCGGGTCAAATCTGGGAGCAGAACCCTGCTCCCAGGACTTCCAGCCCTGTGCTCCATGCACTGGGAAAAGCATGGTTCTCGCAGGGCCACTACTGCTGGCACGGGCTGTTTGAATAGGGGCTCCCCAGCTAACTCGCTTTGCCTTGCTGCCCAGCCCCGCACAACGCCGTGTGGTTAACTGGACATAGCCACATAGTGCCCCCTGCTGGTCAGATGGTGTCTGAGACCTAGGCAGCCTCCCTGGCCAGTTGCACCTCTCATCGAGCGGATGTCAAGTAGGGTGACCAGATGTCCCGATTTTATAGGGACAGTCCCGATTTCTGGGTCTTTTTCTTATATAGGCTTCTATTACCCCCCAACCCCTGTCCCGATTTTTCACATTTGCTGTCTAGTCACCCTAATGTCAAGAGAGCTGCTATTCAAGAGGAGGAGAAAGGAGTCAGAAAGGGGGAGGGATGGAGGACAAAAAGATAAGGACAAATATATATTGAAAGTCTTTCCTTTTTGTGGGATTCAAGAGTCTGAAATCAGACCTTTGCCATTCTTTATACCGTAGAAAAATACAGCTATCACAGGACTCTTTGTGTGTGCTTCTAATGGGCACGAGGTCTTTCCTTCTTTCTTTCTTATCTTGTTTTTATCGTATCTATCTTTCTCCCTATCTGGGCTGGCTGCCTGCCTGTGTTTCTTGTGTCATACATGCAATCTGCCTGCCTGCCTGCCTATCACACTTCACCCTGATATCTCCTCTCTGGCAGGTCACATTGTGCTGCCTGGTGTTTTATGAAGGGTAGACAGAGAAAAACCCAAGGGAGGTAACTGTCCTGAATGTGCAGGGGAGACCTTTGGAGACAACAGTGGAGTTTGGACTCTGTGACCCATACAGTCCTTGGCCTTTTCGTTGACCCTGCCAACCAGGGGACCAATTAGGGATCGCTGCAGTGGGGGTTTGTAGTGGATTTGAATTGGACCAAGACCTAACAATCTCATTTCACACAGACCACTCAACAGACACCAGACTAACTTTCTGGTCCCTTCTGGTCGAGGGTGCATTCAGACCAGCAACCCACATTCTGGAATCTGCAGTCCCTCACCATCCCCCCACATCAGCCTGGAAGGGATTCTGCTGCACAATCCCAGTGGCAGAAGAAATTATTCAAGCTTTAGACAGAGCTTGGGTCCAATTCTCAGCACTTCTGCATTTCTGTAGAGACGTTCAGCATAGCTCCTCGTCAATACTAACTTGTAGAAGGCAAATATCGTTACATGTATTTTACTCAGCGGTAAACAGACATATAGAAGGATTAAAGGCCCAATCCTGGACCAGTGAAATCAATAGGAGCTTGGGCATCGAATTTCAGGGGGAGACGGATCAGGCTCTAAGGCCAGAATTTTCACAAGAGCTCAGCACACTGGAAATACATTAGGTGCTGCTAAGGTCTTTTGCAAATCTGGGGAAAAGTTGCACAGTGTAAACTGTGGACGCTAGATACTTTTGAAAATCTGGCCCTTACTTAGGCGCCCAGATGGAAGATGAGGTCTTATGAAAATCTGCCTTCAATTGTGGGTGCTGAGCACTTGAAAATCTGACCCTGAGCTCTTTTGAAAATTTGTCTCCACACGACTTGCCCCACCTAGAGTAGTAAGTCTGTAGTAGACCTAAAACTGGGAACAGAAACCAGGAGTCCTTCCTAGTGCCCCGTCCACTGTTCTGATCACTGGAAAGCACTTCCTATAATTATTTTGTGTATAATCCCAGGTCTGATCCACAGAAGCTGTCACTCGCCGACCCCTCCCTAGCCTTTTTCACATCAGAGCCCTCGTCAGGAAGAGAGAGGCGTGTGGCTTCATTAGTCAGGTGATATAGACAGTCATCCCCGTTATTTCAGAAATACATTTTTAATGGCAGATTTTTGAAAAACCTGCTTCTCCATCTTTGCTGCTATTGGTCACAACAGTCCGTGATAATGTCCGCCTTCGAATGGAGACCTGGAAGGGTTCTTGTCAGAGCCCTTGGGCAAGGGACAAAGCCGTTCCAACTCCACCTGCACACATAATCTGTTGCATATACTGCAGTTTGGAACAGTAATTGTGTCAAATCAATAGAACTGCAACCCTCAGTGGGACAGGATAGCGCAAGGGAATGGTAATGTGCTATGAAACCCTTCCTGGATAGCTTAGAAGCTCAGCTTCAGCCTAGGTGGGTAGTGACTGGAGGTGGTTGACGTTTTTCACACAAAAGGATTTTTTTGTTGGAAAATGGCCTGTTTGGGGAAATGGTCTTGAAATGTTCTGTTTTTCCAGAAATTTTTCATTATATTGTTTTTTGACGTTTTTATCAGAATTTTTTGCACTCAATGTGATTTTCAGGAAAGGATTTTGGTATTTGAGCACTAAGGAGTCATTCAGGTGTGATATGGGAGTTCTGTCCTTGTTCCCTTGCAAGGAGGATGTGTGTAAAATAGTTTAAAATGTTCACCGAATATGTTGCGAAAATGGATCTGTTTTGAACAGAAATAGAAGCAACCTTGGCATTTGGAAAGGATTAGCAAAATTGTTTTCCTGTTTTTTGACCAGCTCTAATCAGGACTGAAAGTTATTGATGTCTGAGGAGTGGTTGGTGGCCTGCATGGGTTTGATAATCTTAGATCACTTCCATATGGACAGGGGTCTAGGTTACAAAATCATCCTCCCAAACAGGAGCAGTTAGCTGTCTCAGCAGTGAAGCCAAATGAACGTATGACTAGATAAATCATATACGCCTGCAACATTTTGAGGATCTGGATCTACAGCCCTGATCCAATAGCTCCAAAAATACAGGTCTCTATGCACTGAGTTGAAAGATTATACCCTTAGCTGGTAGCAGTAACAGTTCCTTTGTTCTCTCTGTAGACCAGCTGCTAGAGAAAAACACTTAACAGTCACAAAGCTGGTGTATTACACTCCAACCCCTAAAATTAGCCTCTCCAGGTTACGGTTGAATCCTGTTGTCAGGCAGTGTGTGGATGCTTGAAGTGTTCCTTCCTACATCAGCCTTGTTGTTCTCGGCCCATCTGTCAAGTCCCAAACCACATGAAAAAGCTTTTGATCTTACCTTGCTGGTGAGTTTCCAGTTCCTTTGTCTCAAGGTCATGGGTCAGATCTAGAAGACAAAGCAAACAGCCATCAAAAGAAAATGTATCATTCTGGCAGACTCTGCTCTTCGCATTTACTCATCATCATGTTTAATGCTTTAAAAAGTGGATTGCTGGATGGCTTGTAATTTATAATGGCTCTTGATGGTGTCTCTTAGACTGAGCCCAAACCGTCATGACAAATGTTTCTGTCTCAGAGAATTCAGTGACATGCTGATGTGGAAATAGATATTTCTTGCTAGATGGAGAGTATTAGTATATTATCAAGCAGCCATGTAGCTTTTACATTCTGAATGACAAGTCTCCCCCATGTGTAACCAACATAATAATTACAGATGCTGCCCCATCAGCTGCAGTGATGGAGCAACCTGTAATTGTTTAGCTTGGCAATGCCTCTTTTTAAAAACGGAGTCGCTGGAGCATTCAATTGAACCATTTTAGGTGCTTATTTAAGCCAGGACAAAGAGCAGAGCAAGTGAAGTGAAAACAGAGCAGAGTGTAAACTGCCTACTGAAGTATCTCATAATTTACTCTGACTGACTCTTTCTGTCTGTCCGCCTCTTGCTCTGCATATTCTGAAAGCAGAGCACTCTTGTCTCCTGTACTAGAGACTGTAATAAGGATGTTGTCGGCACTCTTCTGGCATTGTCCAGCTTTTAAATCCTGTCACCCAAGGTAGCTTGGATAGTATATGTGACATCTACTAATTAAGCATCCAAGTTCTCAGCCACTGGGCTTCCATTCTGATGATGAAATGCTTGTAAGTGAATATCCGTATGTAATGGTCACCATCATGGGCTGTCACCACAGTGGGGTTGCACTTGAGACCCCCAGCACTAAACGTGTAACCCTCTACTAGTTGAGATTAAGGAAATGCCCTGATCCTCAAAGGTATTTAGGCACCTAACTCCTTTAGCTGGTAGTTGTACTAGACTCATACCTGCTATGGATCATCCATGGGAATGGTGTGTGAAATACAAAATGAGCAGCGGATTACACTTGCTTGGGCTGTGCTGCCTGAGTTCTGAACTGGTCTCTGAAATGCAGAGAGCTCTCCTGCTTGTGTAGTTGAATTAAACTGTCTTCACAAAGCAGCTGCTAACCAGTTTGCTTCTGGACTCTTACCCTTTGCTCTAAAAACAACATGCATATCCTTGACCCATGCTCCTGTCTTATCTTTCATATCATAAAGATATATAAATATAATGAACGTACAACATGCTTTTTAGGTTTACGTTACTGAAATCCCATGATTGAACAGAGGAAAGATATTTTGCAATCACAAAAGGTTGCTAGCAGCGTTTTAATATTCAGAGATGAGACATATCAGGGCTGCACGCTACAGACATTATGATAATGATCTAACAGTTATCTATGGAGCCGAGCCCTGATCCTGCTTGCATCCATGCTGAGGGGAGCAGGAGCAGGCCCATTATGTGAAGCTGATATATAACAGTAAACTCAAAAGATGAATAAAAGCCTCTGAGAGTTTGTTTCACTGCATTTTTAAATGACTTGGCACCTGGACCTTATATTAAATCCATTCCTTTCTGCTGATGAATAATGGGGCATACTGGCAATCGAAAGAGGATAGTGTGTGAGCACAGGGGTGGTGTGTAAATTTGAGTGCAATGAAGGGGGGTCAGTCTGTGGGGAGAGAATGCGGCAGCAGCTGGGTTCAAACCCTTTGGTTTACAATAGTTTCAGAGGTAGAAGCAGAGTCCGATACAGAGGAAGCTGGCTAGGAAGCTGGGACCCGATTCAGTTTCTCTTTTTAGCAGATCAAGGTGAAATGCTGCTCGCTATAAAGCTGTTGGGAATTTTGGCGTTGCCTCCTTTGGGACCAGACTTTGGCTCTTCATTTACAAGGGAAGTGATGAATTCGAGTTGCTTTCCCTTTCTCCAATGGGAAAAGGGAGACAGAAGCTTTCGATCCTGGTCAGCTGGCCTTTTGCAGCGGGCTGCGTCTTCCCAAGCCTGGGAGCACTCAGACCTGCTGCTGGGGCTGGTAGGCCGAACTCTACTGCCATGTTAGGGCCCAGCCCTGCAAACGGCTGAGCGCATCCGGAAAGATACTGAGGGACCTCAACCCCTTTTGCGGTTAGTCGGAGATGAGGATGCTCAGCAAATTGCTGGAGGGACTCTGCAGCTGGCAGGATCAGGCCATGTCATTGTCAGGCATACTAGAGTGAATCTATTGACTGGGCAGCATCCAGCCTGCGGGACAGGAGTTTCACCGAGCTTTGTGCTTATCATCCCTTATCATTTGCAGGGGAGAGGAGGCCTGATCCACCTGTCGTTTATACCCATTTTACACTAATGTAGTGCCAGGACCTTCTAAAGAGCTTCTCCTGATTTATCCTGGAGGCAAGGTCATGTCTACACTGCAATCTGAGGTGTGATGGCAGCTTGGGTAGACATGCCCCTGCTATCATTGCTAAAAATAGCCACGTAGACACAGCAGTGCAGGCCTCAGCAATGCAAGCAGGTCTCCGGGGTTGCAGGCATGCTTGTACAGACTGTGCCAAAGCCCGTGCCGCCGCATCTACCCTGCTGTTTTTAGCAATGCCGGCGCTGATATGTCTGCCTGCGCTCCAGACACGCCCGGGAATGCAGCATAGACACAGCCGACGTGTGGGCATGTCTACACTGCACCTGGGAATGAGCCTCCCAGCCGGGGGAAACAGACTTTGCTTTAACGCTGCAACTTGGGCTGCAGCACGGCGCCTCAAGCCCTTCCCACTCGCCCCCTGAGGCTTCAGAGCCCGAGCTGCAGCCTGAGCAGCAATGTCTGCACAGCGATTTTTAACACACGAGTGTGAGCTCGGCTAACGCAAGCCTGTCGGCCCAGGCTGAGCAGTTCATTCCCAATGAGAAGAGAATTAGGCCCAAAGAATCTTATTCCTGCCCTTACCTCGGCTCCCGGTTCACCAAGCCACCATCCTCTCGTCATAGAAATGTCTCATAAAGACTCATTTCTTCCCTGACACCCGCAAAAGGGAGTTTGCAATAATATATTAAAACAATTTCTTAGTAACGTTTGCCTCAGGGCTTCCCAAAGTGTCCTGTCTTGTAGCAACTGGAAGCTCTTTGGGGCAGGCTCTATATTGATTTCGTGTTGGTACAGTGAGTTTCCTTTTTTTAAAATTTTCTCTTTGGGACCAATGGATAAAAAGAATTAGAGAGATATTCATCCTAGTGAGCAGAAAGATGCTCTCTGTGTTTGGGACTCAGGAGAGCTGGTTTCAATACATAACTCTGCCACAGACTTCCGGCACGACCTTGAGCCAGTCATTTAATCTTTCTGGCCCAGATCCTCAAAGGTATTTAGGCTCCTGACTTCCATTGAGGATCTGGGTCTCTGATGGGGTGACTGCCCTACAGAGAACTAGAAGGGGTTAAGGTGGCCAGCAGACCAATTAACTCCACAGGCTTCACCTGGAGGAAGAGCCATGGAGCAGGGAACTAATTAGAAGCAGGTTCAGCTGTGTAGCCACAGGAGGGGTCTGTAAAGAACCAAGCAGCTGGTAACAGATGGAGGCTGCTGAGAAAGGCAGACTGTAATAGTTCCTGTAAAGAGGGTTTTGGTGCTGTTATACCCAGAAAGAGAGAGGGGGAACCACGTGTGGTGAGAAGCAGTCCCTGGAAGGAGCAGTGAGGGCTGAGAGAGGAAAGCACAGAACTGCTGAGTTGGAGGTCCCTGGACTGGAACCCAGAGTCAGGCTGGGCCTGGGTTCCCTACCAGCTGCGGAGGAAGTGGTGCCATGGGGCAGCGAGAGGGACTTTGCTACCTTGGAAGGGGGAACACTGAGTGGCCTGGCTCCAGGGCTGAGTCATGAAGCCCATGCTTCAGTTTCTGGAATGAGAGATGGGCTGCAGGCCAGAGGGAGAGACTGAGCAATTGCGTGTGAACCCTGGAAGTGGGTGTTGACCTCAAGAGCTAATCCCCAGAGCGAGCAGGAGGAGGCACCAGACCAGTGGTGAGTGGTGCTGTCTGCGATGGCCTCATTTCCCAGTCTGTAATAGGGGGATAATCCTAATTCCTTTTGCCTACCCGTAGGGTTTGTCAACCATGGAAGTTCTGCTGCTTTCACTTTGCCTGCATAGTTACAGCAGCAGAAATTACGCCATACTCTAGACAGATTTAACGCTAATCTAAAAGGGGTTTATAGCTTGTTCTAGTTCAGGTAGCAAAATAAGACAAACCAGTATAAGGCACCTGTAACAGGGCAGCCTGCCCCTTTCAGCTCCAGTTCTGCCCCGCTGCCCTGTAGCGAGGTGCAGCAGGGCCAGATTTAGGGGCAGGTGACCCGGGTGCGGGGCTTAGAGGGTGCCGGGCTTGGGGTGCTGTGTTTGTTGTTAGGGACAAAAGGGTCCATAGAACGTCTGAGGTAACGTGTTCCAGGTATTCTGTATGTGGATTCATTTTTCGCTGACCTCCTAGAATGTTCTGGACCTTTGTAGAATCTCCTGAGGTATGTCAAAATTTGACAAATTGGGGGGGGGGGGCACCAAAGATGCTCCTTGCCTGGGGTACCATTTGGTCGAGGGCTGGCCCTGGGTGCAGGGGCTGGGATTTCTACAAAGAGGCCCAGCATTTGAGGGTTAACTGGGAGACAAGTGGACAGGCTGCTCCTATGGAGATGGAGGGGCAGAAGCCTAGGTGAGGGCCAGGGGGCTGTCTGAGGACTGTGGCCACCCAGATGGCTTTGTAGAAGATTGGGGCCTCGACTGGAGGGTGGTGTGGCTCAGAGCCTGGATACCTGGATGTGGTGGGCGTTGAGACAGGCTGACAAGAAAAGATGCTGGATTGAAGATCCTCTGTTTTGTGGGTCTGTTAGGCTTGGCTGGAGTAGCCAAAGATAGTTGTGGGGAAGCTGAGGTGGCGTGCTGCAACGCGAGGCCTGGCTGTGAGGGGATGCTCAGAGATGGTAAGTGTTGGAACAGGACCTTTATATTAGTATCAGTGTGTCTGTGCTACGGGTTGTATTTGTATAACTATAGTGGT